CATTTAAGCTGAACATAGGTCAGAGAGCGATCGAGACCAATATCGCTCGGATGAGCACCAGGAATTGAAATGTACGCCACTAGATTACGTTCTGACGAATTGAAGGCTAAAACTGAGCAGTATCAAACAACAGTATTTCACCGGCCACCAAAACACCAGCCGGTGTTTTCTGTTTTGTTTACGTAACAGAGCATTCTTTAGGTTATCATCACCTTGATATTATGTAAAGTTGACCTTCCGTAACTCAATAGATTTGACGCCTGAAGCCTTTTTTTTTTCTAGTCACAGCAGTCAGTTTTGCTTCATTGGTTGCTAAAAACTCAATAAACGTAACGACATTAAAAGAAAAAAAGAGTTATATTTTCGCACTAATACATATAGTACGATAGAGACGAGCATTGCCAGCTTTCAAACACGGAAATGCAGTGATTCTTAGAGATATGGAAAGGGAAGGACCCAGTTAGCTCTCGGATATCGGTTCCATTTAATATTGCTTACGAAAGAAATAAATAATAAGTGGGAAACACGTGGTCATTATAAATATGCGCGTGATCGAAATATTCCTCCAGCTCCTCCCCCTCTTTACCCCAAATTGACACAAGCCGCCATTGTTTTTCCTGACAGTGCTTTCACTGAGTCAGTAAACAGACTATTTCGAATCCTTCACATGGTAGAGTCAATCCACAGATTGTTTTAAAGTTAACCGCTGCTAAAACAACTTTTCCGCTAGTAAAGAACCATTTATTCAATACTAAATTACTAATGTTACAAAGACATTGTCGATGGTAGGATGTTGGTTGCTGGACATATGATCTTTGTGTTTCAATACAAAAAAAAATGCCGAATATAATATGATTGTATCCTGCAATCAAAGGTTTCTCTCTTCGTCAAATCAATTAAAGAAACAGTTAGGAAGTAAGTGTTCGGTGGTTAAGGAAGCAGAGATTTCGTGCTTTTCGACCACAGAACCTAATCGGGGTGTCAGGGACTGAAATGCAACTGAGGAAATTTGTAATCTTGTATTTCCTTACGGCATTACTCGATGTTAGTGCGGTTTTGTATTTTGAGCACCTTAAATTATTCTGTTTTGGTAAATCATTACAGAAGAAAGCCCTAAATGTTACCCAATTGCTTTCAAGCTAAATTTTGGGCTAAATAGTGGAAATCAGATATTTCGTGCGATTTGTCTCTTTTATGGAAGAAGTAAGTTGTTTTGAAAGAAAAGTATTGAGGACAAAATTGACCAAAATATAATAAAACTCCACACGCCTTAACCCGATGATTTCATTCAAACGATAATTCCCAGCTCATGAACTGCCCTTTCAAAGTACTTTTAACTTCACGTATCTTTTCATGCGCGTTCAGTTCATTTTGACTTAACGTAACTTGGCCTTTTGTATCCATAAAACGTTTATTTACCTTGTCGTCTTCAAGTTAGTAAAGGTGACTATTTGTTACTCAATTTGTCCAAGACTTGAACTTGTTGGAAGAAACTGAGTCGCTAAGTCATGCCCGAGACGAAACAGGCGAGCTAAACATAAAATTTACCTCGCTCTTTGAGCTATGTTGCAAAACAAGTGCGATTTACGTCGCAAAACATGCAATGTACATCGTTCTTTTCGCCATGAAGAAAGACAAGCGCGCCATTTACGTTAATATACCTCGTTCTTTGAGCCATGGAGCGAAAAAAGCGAGCTACACATGTTATACGCCTCGTTCTTTACGTCATGAGACGAAACAAGCGCGCCACACATGTAATACACCTCGATCTTTGAGCCATGAAGCGAAACAAGTGCGCTAGACATGTAATATACCTCGTTCTTTACGCCACGAAGAGAGACAAAGGTGCTAATCATGTAATATTCGACTGATTCCTCGTTCTTTGAGCCATGGAACGAAAAAAAGCGCGTTATTCACCCCTTTCTTTTAGTCATGAGACGATACAAGCGCGCCACGCATGTAATATACCTCCTTCTTTGCGCCATGAAGCGACAAAAATGCGCTACAAATGTAATATGCCTCGTTCTTCAAGGCATGAAGCGAAAAAAGCGTGCTAGACATGTAATATACTCCGTTCTTTAAGCCATAAGGCGAGAAAAGTGCGTTGCACAAGTAATATACCTTGTTCTGGAGACGAAAAAAGCGCGCTACACATATTTTAAGTCGCAGGGCGAACAAACGCGCTACGCTATCTTATACGCAGAGACAACTAAACGTTTCCGCACAAACAATTAACCCACGTTGGTAGACAAGTATGGAAAACTCGGTATGATTCTTCTAAAAGATTGAACCGACGTACAATGCACCAAAGCAGCTTAACGAGTTTAATAGTGCGAGCAGAAACAATAGCCCGCATTGGAAGAGTGAAGCGACAAGTTGGGTTCTGATAAATGTAAATGATTCTCGTTGTTATTAATTGAAGCAACAAACACCCTTTTCATTACATGTATAAAAATCGTAGACAATCAAGTGAATCATTCAGAACCCAAGGCACATACGTGTACCAAACTTTGACAGCGAGAGTGTGCGTCCTAAATTTTTCATCTTCCCTACCGCTTGCAAAATCATTGATCAGTGAAATTTGTCAAGTTCCGATGATATTACAAAATGAAACAATCCTAAACTTTGTTGTTTGAAAAATCTCCAGTCAATAATTTCATTGTGTTTTTTTACACTGACTTTTTCGCACTCCGAGGGCAAAACAATTCGTCTTAGAATCTAGCTTAGTGCATTTTCGACAGACACTTTGTTTTGATGTATGGAGCTATTTTATTTCACTTAGTCGTGCTTCACTAGTTCCTTAGCATCGCGGCACTGTCACGATATTCTAGTATCACTCTAACAATAGAAGTAATGAAATGATGGTCGACTTTTGTCACCAGACTGATTTGCTCAGTGTATTGCAACTATTACTATCCTATAAAACTTTAAGGTAAAAAGCTGTTAAAATTATGAATCTCAACGTTTTCGATCTGTTTGATCATCATCGGCGAAATGTATATATTACTATCCTGTTTTCTAATGAATTGCAAAGAGGTAGTGGATTACCACTTCGCTACCTTGGAGACAGGTTGTATATTTCAACTACCAAAAAGTATAATAGATCTCCAGCGTAAAGTTTTCGCTGGAGATCTATTATACTTTCAAGTGATTTTTTGTCAGAGAACGATGGAGGCAATTATCGCTCGGAATTGAAATGTGCGCCACTGGACTCTTCTTGAGAATGACCCTTTAATGGTTATCGTCTGACACATAGAAGACTAAAACTAAACATTATCAAAGAAGAGTATTTCGCCATCAAAACACCGGCTCTTGTATTCCGGTTCACCGACTATTTTCTGTTATGGTTACGTAACAAAGCATTCTTTAAGTAAACATCACTTTCATTTAAGCTGAATATAGGTCAGAGAACGATCGAGGCCGATATCGCTCGGATGAGCGCCAGGAACTGAAATACGCCACTGGATTACGTTCTGACGAATTGCAGGCGAAAACTGAGCAGTATCAAACAACAGTATTTCACCACCAAAACACCGGTCGGTGTTTTCTGTTTTGTTTACGTAATAGAGCATTCTTTAGGTTAGCGTAGCTGACCTTTCCGTAACTCAATAGGTTTGACGCCTGAAGCCTTTTTTTTTCTGGTCGCAGCAGTCAGTTTTGCTTCATTGGTTGCTAAAAACTCAATAAACGCAACGAAATTAAAAGAAAAAAACTCAACGAGACGAGTTGCCTTTTCGCCCTGAGACAAGCATTACCATCTTTCAAACACGGAAATGCAGTGATTCTTTGAGATATGGAAAGGGTAAGGCCCAGTTAGCTCTTGGATATCGGTTCCTTGTAATCTTGCTTAAGAAAGAAATAAACAATAAATAGGAAACACGTGATCATTATAAATATCCGAAGAACTTGTCTTGTCGTCCTATGGTTAATAAAGGTGACTATTTGTTACTCAATTTATCAAAAAACTTGCTGGAAGAAATTAAGTCGCTAAAATGTCACCTCGTTGTTTAAGCCATGCCCGAGACGAAACAAGCGCGCTAAACATGAAATTTACTTCGCTTTTTGAGCCATGATGCGAAACAAGTGCTCTTAACATACAATGTACATCGCTCTTTACGCCATGAAGAAAGACAAGCGCGCCACTTACGTTAATGTACCTTGTTCTTTGATCCATGAAGCGAAACAAGTGCGCTACACGTAATATACCTCGTTCTTTACGCCACGAAGAGAGACAAAGACGCCAATCATGTAATATTCGTTCTTTGAGCTAGGGAACGAAAAAGGCGCGTTATTCACCTCTTTCTTTACGTCATGAGACGAAACAAGCGCGGTACACATGTAATATACCTCCCTCTTTTGAGTCGTGAAGCGCAGGTAATGCGCCTCGTTCTTTAAGGCACGAAGCAAAAAATCGTGCTAGACGTAATATACTCCGTTCTTTAAGCCATAAGGCGAGACAAGTGCGCTGCACAAGTAATATACCTCGTTCTAGAGATGAAAAAAGCGCGCTACACATATTTTAAGTCACAGGGCGAACAAGCGCGCTACGCTATCTTATACGCAAAGACAACTAAACGTTTCCGCACAAACAATTAACCCGCGTTGGTAGACAAGTATGGGAAACTTGGTATGATTTTTCTAAAAAGATTGAACCGACGTACAATGCACAAAAACAACTTAACGAGTTTATTAGTGCCAGCAAAAGCAATGGCCCGCGCTGAGGGAGTGAAGCGACAAGTTGGGTTCTGATAAATGTAAATGATTCTCGTTGTTATTAATTGAAGAAACAAACACCCATTTTTATTACACGTATAAAAATCGTAGACAATCAAGTGAATCATTCAGAACCCAAGGCACATACGTGTACCAAACGTTGACAGCGAGAGAGTGCGTCCTATCAACTCACATTTCCGTCATTAACTTTCTGATTGGATGAGAAAGTGGCGCTTTTTTTTTTAAGCCAACAGTAAGCGTCGTAACACAAAATTAGTAACACAAAATCAAAGCGAATTTGAAATTTATTTCGAAAACCGCTCTATTGTTAGTTAGCAAAAGTTCTAAATAGACTCACATCAATAATCAGTAAGGAATTGGAAAATTATACACAGCAGAGAAAAAAAAACTACTTTGTTGGAAACTTGATTCCATCATAGCACCTCGATATCTCGTTCTCCTAATTAAGACCTTCAACAGAGACGTTTTGTACCACCAAAAACCAAACAAAAATAAGATTCTAATGTAACGAATGATTTAAAACATACTGAAAAGCAGTGGAAATCAGTTTAAAATCGACATGAAATTTCACAATTACTTACAAAATGCGCCTCTACAACTGGAGGGGACTGGCCAGCCCCTTAACATGATGAATCCCGAGTTCTTTACAACAAAGTTAAGTTACAAAGAAAACTTCCAGGTGTTATTAAATAGTTAGATATACCCAACAATTGTAGGTCTGGTAAATTGTGAGATTCCGCCGGAGTGAGATCTCTGTATTAAAAATTATAGCTGTGTTTGGTGCTACGCTTAGATTAGTCAAGAACTTACAGACAGTTTACTATCTGGAGTGCGTTCCTATAACGCTTAACGTAGGTTACATATTGCAATGTTTACTTTAAAATGTTACAGAAGATACGCTTTCTCACTTTATAGCGCGAGTGTTTTTGCTAGTCTGTGCCTGATCAATTCATTTTTCTACAAAGCAGTAGTGTCAGCTTTATATCCTATGTTGGAAAAGCCTTCATTAGCAGCTTCCATTTCTTTCGTTCCATTAACCTCCACATGTGCCAGCTCTGCATTGTTCCGTTCAATATTTTCCATCATTCTCTGGCCAGCATAGGCGATCAAGCCGAAGAAGGCGAATCCAAAGATTAATATGCCCACGGACATCCCAATTAGTGCTGGGCTGAGTGGGACGATAACGAAGGCGGTGAGAAGAGAGATTGTGTCCAAGATGTAGATTAAGGCAGCAAGAACTTGGCGATGGAAGTGAGTTCCAAGGATGGAGCCTAAAGGAGCCATGAACATCACAACTGGAGCAGTCACAATGATGTAGTTCCAGGCTTGAAGAGTGACAGATTCTTGGATGACCCGGCGCCAGAACAGGCCCACCAGAGAAGTCCATGCCATCATGACAACTGATGTTGGCGTGGCCGTCTTCTCAGTGACACGGAACAGGAGCGTCAAGACGCTGAAGCTGCAGATGTCCACTCCGCCCCCGACAACGGCAGTAAAGAGGCCACCGATAAATCCACACATCAGGAGAACGAATATCTTCCAAGGCTTGATGTTAGGGATGGTCTTGTAAGTCTTGCGCTTGTGGTAGCGATTGAGAAGAAAGAGGGCGAAGGCAAATGAGAACCACACGCAGACGAAAATCATTTTCTTTACCTTTGCACTGACGTACGGATCCACAAACTCCAGCCCAAGTATGACTCCGAGGACACCTCCGGCGAAACAAAATACTATGGAGTGCATCTCTATCTGCACCCGCATCCAGAAGATGACAAAAGTTGCTGCTGACATACCGCAGGACTGCACCATAAGTGCCACATCGCGTGCCACTGATGGTGACACATCAAAAGCAAGGGTCAATACGGGAAAAGCAACTGCACCTCCACCTTCGCTGGTCATTCCTGTGAAGAAAAGTAAAAGTTACATTAGTTAGTGTATTACTTCAAAGATGTCGCATGTGCCCTATTAAAATAGTGATAAACGATCCCAAAAACTGCCTTTAAAACAGTTCAATACTGCATAAAAATCGATTGGTTGTTTGTTAGAGGAGCAACAGTGCAATTTTATGTTGTGTTTCTAGCAAGTTCTTTGCGATAGCAAGTGCCTCTAAAATACAAGCGATAAAAGGGGGAGAAAGATTCATAAATGATATGCTTGCGAAGAGAATAGGGTCCACCAGACATAACACATGCCAACATAGGATTCAAACAACTGTGTCAGCAACGGAAAACTAATGTTAACAAGTCAACTACTACGTAGCCTCATTTCAGGGGGTGGATAGTCATTTTGCTGATCATTCGCTATAGCTGCTCTCTCGTTTGCCTGAAAATTTCTTTGGAACCCGTACGCGTAACCTCGCCAATTATAACCAGTGTTTTCAACACATGTAAGTTTCGGAAGTTATTTGTAGAAATAGTCTTCACCTGCAACAGTACCGCCAAGAACCATTGTCAAGGTCATGTAGTATAAGTCAGGAAAGAGAGCAAACCAGTTGTACTTAATGGCGCAAGTCCACCAAACAATGTGACAGAGTCCCGACGCTATGGCAATACCAACGAAAAGACGGTACTTCACCATAAGCTTCCTGTGCCATGGTGCATCAGGTTCTAGTTCCTCGAGAGCCTTAATTTGGGTTTCAGTCACAGTCTGTCCTGAAAGGTGCGAAAATTGGCATTAGACCGGCTTTATTATTACTATCAATAAGCCAAACAACTGCAATAATCACTGAAATTCAACAACACAGCACATGTATCCCAAAACCCATTAACCATAGGAAGAGGTCTTCTATTCGAATCTTGTCGTCGCCGTAAACATTTCTCGTAATATCTTTATTAATATACTTTATCGCGATGAACACCTTATCGTTTGATTTCATACCCATAGTGCAACATCATACCTTAGTTGTAGATGATATAGTTTTAATGTGTGTAAGAGTTTGTTTGCCAGATGCGCTTCTTATTTTTCGTACGCAATTTCTGCTTACTACAATTAGCATATCGTCACAAAAACATAAAGGTCTAAGTTTCCACAAAGATGACTTTTTAAAGAGTAGGCTACGAGATGGGTAAAGGTTCGCAATATTTTATCACAAAGCAAAAAAGCGCGATAAAAATTGTTGGTGAAGAATAACATTGGAATACTTAAGCGTGGTAAAATAGAAAATGTACGTGAATAAACTGTTGTTTTACTCCCCCGTTAAGAAGACATGTATATTTTGAAATTCGCTCAATTCCCAAATATGATATTTCCTCAAGTGTTTTCTTCTGATCAATATTGTCCAGTGACAAGATTACTTCGCAGGAAACCACAAATGCTTCTGCTTCTTCGTGATTAACATAATTTGCAAACTTAAAACTTGGGCCGAACATTCTGTGTGGTATCTGAAGTGGATGCGAGGGTAACTGTGTACATAATAAGTAGAAAAGAACTCTTCGAACACATTTTGTGACATGGTAGCTACGGAGTCTTCTTTTTGGCTGTTTAGTAGACTGTTCAAATTCTTACCTTCCCAAAAATATTTCTTAAACCATTGCGCAGGAGTCCTTCGTCCTCGTCGAGGTGCTTCGCCAGACGCGTTCTAAAACAAGCAAAACCAAAGTTCACTCTGTCGATATCTTATGCAGCTGCAAACATCTCATTTGCTATTTCTGTACTATGTGTGTATCTATGTATGTCAACAAAAAGTTCGTTTTCAATTGCTCTCATGTTGGGTTAGGTAACTGGATTTTCTACTTTCTCAAAGTGTGCGCTTGACTTCTTGTTGCTTTCAATGGGCCAAATATATATATACTCTATCTAAACACCAAGAAAATTAGGTTGCGAAAGAAGTCCTTAACTAGAAATACAGAACATGCGATTCAGAGCAGCAGGTAAAGACAATCTAATCAGAAAGAGAATTATTATATTAAGTGAACGTGTATCCATGAGTTAACCGTGAGGTTTTGGTGATATTTCCTGGGAGTTTCTAAAAATGGTCAAAAAATCATGAGCACATCTATACTGAAGCACTCGAGAGGAATGCGTATATGTTGATGCATCACAGATATTGCTTGAACTTGGATATCTGGACTAACTTTTTTGGGAAATATGAAGTTTCTTTAACTGACACTGAAGACATTTCAGTGAAGTTTTTATAGGTTGAACATGCATTTTTCGCCATTTTGTCATTTATTCGGCACTGCTTCACCCGACTTTTAAACCAGCAAATCATAAATCACATATTTCTTACATTTAATGTTTGACTCAGCTTAACACAATTTCACTTGTTTCCTTGCAAGAAATGACTTT